CAGCAAACTCCCACTTTCTTGACCTAAAATGTTATCGTTTAAATCGACTAAAAACATATGTATAAGTCATAAATAGTATTGTCTTTTAGGGTGATCTTACAACATTTGTCCAAGGACTATGGATAACAAAATAGCCCCTTGGCTAACTCTGCTGCATTTACACTGTCCCTGCAAAATAACAAAAGAAAGACAGAAAGGAAGAATGAAAACATGATGAACAAGTATTTGTCTCTTGCCAATAATAATTCTACTGTAGATTTTTTTTCTTCAAAAATGAGAAGGATGGTGGAATGGAATGTACTTTTCCTCGCTATACTTGGATTTTTGACCAAACATCTACAACACAAGTGACATCTCAGTTCTAAGCTGTTTAATGCTAAAAATACAATGTTAACCAAGTTTGTTAGCATGGTACAAACCATTTGCGAAACATCAGTTAATTGGAATTACCATGTGAGCATTTTAGCATGCTCATGTTAACATCTAGCTAAAAGCAACTCTGTGCCTTTATACAGACTCACAGAGCTTCCAGCATGGCCGTAGACTCCTTGTCTCCACATTCATTATTTTCTTCCAAGTTGTTCATCTTAGATTATATAACCCAACTGCATAAAATCACTGACATCTATCTGAATTTTCAGACACAGTCCCTTTTGATGGATGCAGTTTCTCAATAATTAATTAAAGCATGTATTTTTTGCTAAGTCGATTCTGCACTTCAGTCAGAGCAGCACCTTAAAGGACGCGGCACGTAGAATGAAGACAGTTGGGCATGAAAGTGACTTCTACATACGCACATAGTGGACTTGCATGGACACACACATTTATGCAGCTCCCGGAGGACAGCTGTCAGATGCAAACTAATGAGAGCTGAGGATGGCACCGTAATGGATTTATTTCTGTCCCTCACTGTCTGTCTCTGTCTTTCTCACATTCGCAGCGACCTGGTACAGTCGTGAGTGGACTCTGACACTGACATCATCTGACACTGCCTGCCTGCGAAGCACGAATCAAAACGCACCATCCTCCAAGAGAAAAAGACCAACAAAGTTCACCACAACTATTTATACGGTCTGCAGCACTTCTAATTCTATGGTGTGAGTCAAATGACCCTCAGTGGTTGTTGCTGTATTTGAGTGTTAATTACACCTTCATGCTACAAATAGTAGTGTCGCCTCCAGCTCCTCCTCACCTGCGTCAAGTATTGAGTTACTGTCTACGTAAAGCATCTAATTACCATCTGAGGGCAAGCTGGGACATGTTGCTACTATTCCTAGAGATTTGTTTTTTATGTTTCCACAGACAAGAGAAGGTCTCCATCCTTCCATGCTCTGATTCATCCTCTCACTTCGCCGTGCTGCTGGTGTAATCAGATCCGGGCACACTAACTAACGCTCTGCTGCTTTCCCAGCCCTCCTCATGCATTATAGACAAACAGATTTTCTGCCGTGGCGTGTCTGGCTGGCGCTGGTGATGGTGTGGTACATCGATGGCCTGCAGCTGCGTTCAACCAGCACATCATTAAACAACTCTGCTCTTTTGCATGGGTGACAGACAGCACAAGGACTGCCAGATTACCTTTCTCCTTGGGTTCATTCATTGGTCTTTATTCATTATTTGGTTGTACTGTCCTCCTCTTTTCACAAAATATGCATACAATTTCCATTTGTCCTGTATGATTTTTTTACCGCTCAAGCATCATAACCCCCATCCTTTCCTTCCTGGAAATATTGGGGATGTCAGGCTGGCCTGGTCGACATTACACGTCATTTGTTGTAGCTGTTTGTTGCAAAGGAGAATGTATGTGTATCTGTACGAGTATAGTGCAAGTTATGTTACTTGTGTGAATACAGTTACACATTTTTTAATTCATTTATTTCAAATTGTACAACTTCTAAATGTCAAAGATTTGCAGGGATTTGGACTGTGGAACACTTCATCTTTGGGATAGAATAATCTATCAGTCATTATTTCATGATTTGTAATTATTTGTTATACCTAATGAACAATTAATCAGGGTATTACGCAAGAAATTAAGGATTTGTTGCAAGTTGGAAGTTGTAATGTCAACAATATAAGTCAATTTGCATGATTTATATTTTTTGATACCTTTAAACTCTTAAAGAATCTACATAAGTAGCCTCTTTACCTGTGACTCCAACGTGCCTAACAATAAGTTAAGAAAACACCTGAGGATTTGTTTGAGAGATAAGCAAAAGCAAAGGTTGACTTTACAAGAAAACCATATAAGTTTTCTCTCTTATCAGTCAGGAACTCTGCTCTCTCCCTTGGCAGATTGACACATCTTCTACAACCACTTGTTGTCAACAAACACTTTCAATCCTGTAATCATGTGAGTGGTCCGGCTGCACCTGTGGCCTATATTCAGGTATGCCGGGAAGATTGTCCAAGGCCATGATTGCTTTTGCAAAGGTGGGACATGAGACACGTTGTGCAACAATGTAGGTCAGGTAGAAATATTGGACTACAAATTAATTATGCAACTGTTAAAAGCAGTAATTGTAGAAAATGCCCCTATTGCTCTGTCTATACTTGCATGTGGTAAAAGTTCTGGGTGTCCACTAATTACATTGAGCAGGGCACTTGCTGATGATGTCATGTTTTCTTTGCATGAAAGGGCAACTCCTGTGAGGCTGCAGCTGCAGACAGGGCATCACACCACATGAGGAAGAGAAGCGTGGGTTCCTGTGCTATGTTGCTATTTAAACTCACATGCAGGATAACCACGACCAGCCATGGATTAAGTGGGTGTGTGTGTGTGTGTGTGTGTGTGTGTGTGTGTGTGTGTGTGTGTGTGTGTGTGTGTGTGTGTGTGTGTGTGTGTGTGTGTGTGTGTGTGTGTGTGTGTGTGTGTGTGTGTGTGTGTGTGTGTGTGTGTGTGTGTGTGTGTGTGTTTGGTCTCTCGGAGGCACATCAATTCATAATGAGCTGCTGTGAAGCTTTTTATAGGACTAGCCAACCGCTGCCTGAAATACATTAACCTTCTGTCTCCTGATCTCATATTAAATCCATGGTGGGAGTAGTTTTTGTTTTCAGTGAATACCTCAACATGGCTGATGCGATTTTATCCACTGGTGAAACACTGTCTGCAGATAACAATCCCCATATCCACCCAACTCCTCTGGGCAGCAGGGAACCTGTTTTCTGTCTCCTCATGTCTTATTCAGCCCTGTTATTGTGCAGCATCACTGCAGGTGGTGTACATGACAATCTGCCTGGCTCTGGGCTGGGGGAGCACCCGTGCATGCCGTGTGAAGCTGCAAACATTAGTCGACAGATCAATTAGTTGATAAAAAAGTAATCGTCAACAATGTTGATAATCAATAAATCATTATTGTAGTTTTTCACGCTGAAATGTCTCTGAAATTTTGATTTTCTTGCTTTCCTCTTTTTTTTTAAATAGAGTTAAAGAGTATATATTGGGGTGTTCTGTGGGCTGTTAAAACAAAACATTAAAAAACATTAGCTAGGACATTAAGGCACTAGGGGGGACATGTAAACTATTTCCTGACATTTTATTTACCAAAGAATAATCGAGAATATAATCAATAGTTGCAGCCTAATGCAGCGGGCTTTCAGAGTGTGGCTCTGGCAGACAGATTCATACCTCCAAAGATTTATATACATTTATAAATAAACTAAATAAGTGTGGTGATACTGTTTCATATGAAAGTCTGGTAAGAACTGTGTGCAGTAGGCGTAGGCCGGTTGTTATGTGGAGGGGAAGTGACAGTGGCAGGTCTTCTACTTTTAGAGCTGCAAGGGAAGTTGTGTCACTGCTGCAAAGTCACAACCCTCGCATGATGAGAGTGAATCTGCCACTTAGCCACTGTAGTTATCAGATATTGCACCTGATACACTATCTTTAAATAGGAGGAAATAACCTAATGTGTCACTTCCCTTCATCAACTTATATTTTGGTGAAGTAACAACACTATAATAAATGAATAAAACGTTGGTACATACATTTAAACCAGTTAGCAGGACGATTATGTGCTGAAATGATGTTCACATATTTATGGCTGTGAATATTACCATTTTTTACATCTTTAACCGTAAGTTAGAACTGTTTTATGGTACAACTCAACTCTATGCATGTCTGCAAATGGTATAACTCACCCAAACATTTCATTTAGGCTTCAGTGGTACTGTGTCAATACATAGGCCTATGCCACTATAATGAAATGTAGTGTTTTGTCATTGTGTGACTGTTAAACTAATCATTACAAAAAGATTGATTAATATAGGATATCCCAGTCTGCTGTCTAGTAACTCATGATTATGTACTGTAAAGTCCTCTATTAGAAATTATTAGGTATGTACTTCTTTCCAAATCATGAATTATCAAATTGTTCCTCAATCTTTCCTCCATAAACCTTGTTCTGATTCAATACATAGACCAAATGTAAAATAAAGGTACTGGCTGGCTTTGGATATATTCTACACATACAACATTGCAGTAGACTATGTGGATTCAACAGAACTTGTTCTTGCCCTTGAGAGATTCTCTGTCTCATGAAAGGAAGACGTAATAGAAAATAAAATAAAACAGTCACTATGTTGTTAAGGCATCTGGGGGTCAGCCGTCTTGTCATTAAAGGACCCATGTGATGTTCTAATAGCTTGCTTGTGGTGACGTCCTCCTGTGTGTCCTGGCTTCCCTGAGGCCAGGCAGAATGAATGGGCCTTCAGTACCTTAATTGAATAACTTCAACAGCCTGTTCCCAGAAAACAATTTGGCGAAAAAGGACACATTTTCAGCCAAGGCTATTAAATAAATAAATAATAATATGATGGTACCTGTAGTCCATACAGCTAAGAAATATCTCTCCGTGTTTCCTGCCTCCATGTTGCTTTTTTCACACTGCAAATCTGACCTGAATCTGAGCCTCTCAAGGTAAATCCCCACTCATATTGCACAAGAGGGAAACAAATGCCTAAATCTTTTCCAACACAAATCTACACATAAAGTTCCACAGTTTCATATAATTGTCTTTTTTATTGATAAGTCTATGAGGTTCACATAACAAACCACATTTTCCTTTAGAAAATAACATATTTATACTTTAAACATCATACTTTACATCTCAATACATAAAGGTGTGTTTCTTTTGCACAGCAAAGATAAGACATTGATGTTTTAGGCAACATACCAACAAACATTATGTACATGTAGTCAACATAATACTTCCACAACAGTGCAAAATAAAGTAAATTAACAGGCAGTAACAAGAGCGCCCTGACAGGAAAATTAAGGATGCCTGTTTAGACCCACTGAACCACTTAGGAAAATAACAAATCGTGCTTAAAAACTAAGTATTTTTGGATCATTAAGCATCTTTCAACAGAAAAACGCAATTTGCAAGAGAGAGTAAAGTTAGGTAAACAAGCTTGAGGATACACAAATCCTCTTAAATAAAAGAGATGGAATTAGTGCAGTGCGTCCTGGGCACACTTGGATTTGTGTCGTTTCCTCTCTCAAATGGGCATGCACTTATTTGTTTTGTTCATATTTGACACAATATTAAGGTATCGTTCAGTAGCCTTATTGTGTGTCAATGTGCTGTTATTGTCCCAGAGCTTAAGTCGTGTAGGCACCAGGTTGGACAAACACTCTCCAAAACAAAGACAGGGAAAATGTTTCTTGTGGAGACATGGCTCATCATAGGAGACTTGCCCGGAAATATAATATTCAGGCGATTTCCTGCACCTTTACCTCCTCAAAGCCATTAGAGAGATGAGGGGGCTCCTGGTTGCTCTCTATGGAGGACTCGCTGCCCGTGCTCTCTCCAGAGAGAAGTCTGGTTACTCTGAGGTCAGCTTTCAGAGTCTGCAGGTCGTTTCCTATGCTCATCTCCCCCAAGTCATTAATAATCTGAGTCAATTCCTGTTTACCGTTAGCAACACAATCATCGTCCGTGTCCAGAATGTCCTCACACTCAAAGTGCATCGCTTTCTCCTCCTCCTCCTCCCCGACTAAGTCCTCTGTGATGGAGCCCAGTTTGGGTGCGCTCCGGCTGCGCTCCACCGGGGGTTTGTAGTAGCACTGTCCGTTCAGCAGCTTCCTGATGGGGACCAACGGGATGGTCTGTTCCCCTATGAGCTGCTGCTGCTGGTGCCTGGCATCGTCCCTTCGCTTTAGTCTTTTGAACTCAGCCAGGGCCGTGGCCGAGGTCTGGTACAGCAGCAGCGCCATAGCCTTTGCCTTCTCCGGCTTGGACACCAGCACTGCGTGACAGCGCAGCATCACGGCCTTGTGCTTCATTTCGTGCCTGTAAACCCAGGCGAAAATCTTGGGTAGCCTCGGGTCCGCGACGCAGTATGTTATCCGGTGTAGCAAGTACAAGTGTCCCGGCCTCCTGGCCTTGTCGTCCACATGCACCATCCGGATGCCCTGCGAGCTGATGGTCAGCCTCATCTTGGTGCCGTGTTTGCCCATTTCGCTTTTGCCCCAGATCTTGCTCACCGCAACGTCTGTACAGCCGTCCCCTTTGGACTGGATGGTAGTGGCATTCCCCAGGTATAGCACCGTGTATGTCGGGTCCTCGCTGGTGATCTTCACCTTTTTCCTCTTTGACTTGAACATGCTGCCCACCCTGTTGAGCGCGCTCTCGGGGCAGGACTTGGCGAAGGAGGTGAGCGCAGAGTAGTTGAGGCTCACCGCATAGCCCTTCTGCTTGGACTGCTTGTCTTCCTCGATCAGGTCGAACTTATTCTTCTTCCAAGGCAGCATTGTATTGCTGTTTCCAGTCAACAGCAACAAAGTCTACTGAGAGAAAGAAAATAATAAACTTTGTATTAACGGCTAAATCCAAAAAGTGTTTGAGCTACTCTATGAGAATTGAACTCAAAGACATCGTACTTCATCTGTTCTGCCTCTAAAGAGCTCATGTCCAATTGTTGTGTCTCCCGTCCTCTCTCTTTGCTATTTTGAAACCAGTCTGCTGATGAAGGACGAGCTTTCAGGACTATATACAGGGAGAAACCACTTCAGGGAGACTGTAGGGGGGGGGGCTGAACCAAATGATAATAAACATGGTTGTGTTTATTGATACTACATTCCCTTTTACCCTTTTTTCAAAAATGACCGAAGCATACATTCGCTCCAACTAGATAAAATATACTTAGGCTATATATATTTTTCGTTAGAATTTTTTACATATTTTAGCATAACACGAGCCTATAACCAGATATTATTTTACAATGGGGAAACCTATATTTCGGCTATAAATATGCATAAAATAGGACAAATATAAATATTTTGTTTTACAAAATCTCTCAAAATGTCAATTAGAATACTATGGTGGTAATGGAAGAGTAAGCATAATACATATTTTAATTGTTTTAATTTGAACAAATTAAACAAATGTTACCAATTATGTTTGCATTAGGGTTTTGTGCATACAATAATAAGGTAATTCAGAGGAAATAAAACACAGGCAAAGTCATGCTAAAGTCACACAATAAACAAACGAAGAAGGTTATCGCCATCTTCTGGTTCGCATCAGAAATGCATCTGTTAATCTGTGATGATGGGAGATAATTAATGTGTTACTTTGATCAACATTAACTTTTTATTTGTTGAATTCAATGTACTTTCTTGATGTGGATTGCATTATATTTATTTTATTTATTTGTAGCCTATTATTATTTCAAAAACTGACCGCAGTTAAAAATGAGGAACGTATATCGGTACTGTCGCGTTTTCTTCAGGGCACCTTTAAGAGCTGGACAAAAAAGCGGACTGTACCATATTCACGCCACTGTATATACTACCAATAAAGATAAAGGAGAGTTTTAATTCCAATTTATTTATTGTTTATTTATTCAGATATTGTATGCAAATTCTTAAATAAAAAATATTAACAAATATCTCCTAGTATTTGAAGTCAGGGTATGAGGCTCGATTGATTTATCCCACTTCCGGTTCTGACGACAACAACGTTGTGCACATGGGGCACAGTAGCTAGTCGGAGATAGCATTTTCCACCTTCCCGATATCTTAATTTACAGCTTTGTTTGTTAGATATTATATTACAGAACATCAGAAGTTAGTATGGGTAAGAAGAAAGTAGGAGGAGCAGGAGCGCTGGGTCGAACTCTGATAAAGGAAAGGTTTAATGCAAGCCGCGGAAAAAAGAGAGGCGACTCATGGGTATGTCAGGGCAAAAACGAACTTATATTACACATGCTTTATCAAATAATTGTGTATATGTTGCTGTTCGTGATATTTGATTAAGTTCACTGTCGGTGCTGTTTGAACTGCCACTCAACATGTGTGTTTCGGGTGAGCTCTCAATAGATCTGACTAACATGGGTAGTTGCTTGCGCCAAACTCCATTGAGAAAATATTATTTTATCGCTGCTCTGAATATATTCAATGTAAAGTGCCACTATAAACAACTTTTCGTAATAAATATGCTCCTGTGAACAATTCGGCATGGAGATAAATTAGACATTATATTCCCTAACCTTGTCTGTTTGCTTGTTACTGTGGCCACATGCATAGTTTGCTCATGCTGCTGCTGTTATAAACACTTTTGAAGTTGCTCTATTTTCTGATGCTGTTGTCTGCTAGCTACTGTACCTGCCCGAAGCTTGTTTTCAGACTGCATTATGTTAATGTATATCTTTCGTTACATGCGATTGTATGTAAGTATAGGGTCTGTTGGAAATGGTTTGATGTGGGCTTGCTACATTTCTACCTTTGCCTTTTTTTTTCTTCTAATGACTCGCTTGGTTAAATCAATGTTAAATAAAGTGAGCAAACAAAAAAACATCCTAAGTAATGTTAGGGCAGAACACCGTATACTTTTTTTTCTTAAGTACTCACTGTAATCCTTGACTAATGTGAGGTTCGTTATTAATGAAGCCCTTATTTGACCCTTTTTTTCACCTTTGCAGATCCACACAAGTGAGCTGAATGATGGCTATGACTGGGGTCGGCTGAACCTGCAGTCGGTGACAGAACAGAGTTCAATGGATGATTTTCTGGCCACTGCAGAGTTGGCAGGAACGGAGTTTGTTGCAGGTTAGTAATAAGTCACTAAACGTATGTGTTCTTCAGATGTGTGTTGTGGTCACAGACTGTCAATAATTTGTACTCAATAAGCATTGCAAAGTACTTAGTACAATATATGCCATTCTAGACACAGTTGTTGTATTATTTCGACCTGCACCCAGATTAAATAGTTAATCAAATGCCCTCAAACCAAATGTACAGTTGTTTAAATGGACTTATTGCTCATGTCACTAATAGTCTTAGACCCCGTTTACACGAGGACGAAACGGGTTGTATTCGCATAGTTTCTCTTGCGTATGTATAGCCCTTTCGTGTACACGAGGCCGTAACAAAACGATAGAAACGGACCCCGCAAACGATAACGGGTCCCAAGGTGGATAGATCTGCAAACGGAACGCTCTGGGGGGGTCAAACGGCTCTGTGTAATCTCCTCTATAAGATCATTTTCTGATAACGATGAAATAGCCCCGCCTCCCTCTCCCCACGTCTCCCTCTCCCCACATCTCCTGCTGCTGGTCTGTCAAAAGAGGGGGAGGAAAAGAGAGGCTCCGTTTATTATTATACAGAGTCGTTATCAATTTGTTTTAAAGCTCAATAAATAACAAAGAAGACCTCTGACCGACGCTTTTCTAATTTTGTATGGAAGATTTCAACTTTAACGGACATGTTGACCGGCGAAAACAAATGTTAGCGGAAACTCTGCCGCATGGTTCCCTCGTCCCTTGGAAGAGGCGGAGTGGTGGGTGTTTTTCATCTGCTGGTGGACTACCGGAGAGATTTACAGCAGGAGTACCATGAGGAGCACACGCCGTCCACCGCGGAGAATAAACAGAAGGGCAACCATGCCTTCGCTGCTTTTGGTGTATTTTGTGGCGGCAGCAGCGCCACTTACAGGCCTGGCTTATGTACTACAGCGTTTCCAGCGGTCTCGTGTGAACAGACACGTTAAATTAATCGAATGCGTGTGAACGGAACACTTTTTTGAAAACGCATACGGTGCGTAAACGCAAACGTTCCAGTGTAAATGGGGTCTTAGGCCCCGGCCACACGAGGACGAAAACGATCGTTTGCATTACCGTTCTGTGTCATATAGACCGTTCGGCCACACGAGCACGACCGAATACGGCACTAAACGACTGCGGAAACGATAACGGGTCCCAAGGTGGATAGAACGGCATACGCAACGCTCTGGGGGGTCAAACGGCACAGTGTCTACGCCCTATACGTAGGGTTGGGTATCGTTTGAATTTCCACGATTCTGATTCTACTTTTCGATTCCGGTTCTCAATTCCGATTCTTTGAGGGGCAGGGTAAAAAAATGATACATGCTTCTTCCACCAAAAAATTACATTTATTCGAGAAACTTTTACACAGGTTAGTTTACAGTAATATTCACATTAATCAGTCTGTTTATATTCACTACTATGTAACTGTAACCTGAGAACCACTGAAGCGACAACAGTCCAACTTTTAAAGGAACCCCCCCCCCCCATTTAAAAACAGTTCTTGTTGAGAAAAACAAGCATATCTGCCTTCTCAGGCATACCGGGAAGAAATGTTTGAACATTTTAAAGTAAAATGCTTCAATCTGGTGCACTTTAAGCAGAATTACTAGAGACTAAATCTAGGGGGTACAACTCTAAACACCCATATGAAAAAGATCGTTTTACATTTGAATAATTAAATAAGTATGTGAACATAACCAATAACCTACCATAGCCAATAAGAAATACATGTAACGTATTTTATTTTTGTTGTTCATTCATATCTTATTTTACTATTTTATTTATGCATATATTTTTTATCTCTCCAGTTTAAAACGATATGTCTGGTTTACTGTCCTATAGTATACATTGGAATGATTTCAAACCTGTTTTATCCCAATAATTATAAAGGAGTGCCTTGGAAATATGTGTTTACATAAATTGTGATTAAACCGTTTGAGACCCACTGAGATAACTTAGACTAAAGTGAACTATCTAAACACTCAGAGTCCTTTACCTCACTGAGCTGTTGTTATCAGCCTCAGTCTGACTGGAGAGGACTCTCCCTCCACACATCTTCTTCTTCCGTTAGAGCAGCTAGCACCAGATGCTAATAACAACAGCGCGTACCGGTGCACCGTCCCTTTCTCCCTCGCTCGCTCCCACGCTCACTCGCACTTTGGCTGTGAGCTGCGGTTGCCAGATAAGCCAACATCCCCCATTTTCATCACTTACAGCGCCCATCGTACAGGGCAAATGAAAAGTGTAACCGGGATGAAAAGGGTGTTACATTTACTTAATTATGAATGTTGTTACATCAAGGCCGAACATTAGGATGAGCACCAACGGTCAAAACATTTTTTTTTCTCCCATAGCTGTCAGCGCAGCGCCCCCACCGATCTGGCGCCCTAGGCGAACATCTATAACGCCAGTTCGATGGGCCGGCCCTGGTCTCAGGTTACGCTGTAGGAAGTGTAGGTACAACCAGCGCCATATAGATATGGCGCAGGGTACAACCATAGATATATATATATATATATATATATATATATATATATATAAACACGTGTTTATATATATATATATATAAACACGTGTTTATATATATCTATGGGTACAACGCTACATTTCCCGCCCCTTCGCAGTCATACAGTAGGCTACGGAGAGCGGCGAGAAACATTTCCTCAGGCATCGAAAAGCGGAACCGAAATTCACATGTCTAAATGATGCCGTTGGAGGCCGGGTTCTCGGTACCCAACCCTACCTATACGGTCATTTTCTGATAATGATGAGGCAATAGCCCCGCCTCTCCCCACCTCTGCTGCTCACCCCCGCGTCAAAGTAAACTGCACATTGAATTCAGATTATTTATCTTTCTCTCGATATGGACCTAAACGCGAGTGAAGTCTAATCTGACAGGACGGAGA